AAGTACGATCAAGAGGGTAAGTAGTTTTATTTTAAAGAAAATGAGCTAACCTCTCACTTGTCTCAAAACTTGGTTAATAAGGCAGAAAGACCTTCATTCCAAAATTGACAGGATTTAAGTGAGTATATAATCCCCCAAAGCTATCATGGTCCTCTCTAGAAGGATTTTTATCTTATTTATTAGCGTAGATCAAATGAATAATTCTTAGTGTGATTAAGCACATATTAGAATAAAGCTATTGATACAGTTGTAGTTTGTATTTTCTAATAACTGAGCTAAATTATAAATTCTTATTATTTCCTGAGAACTCTGACATGTTTTCTGAATAAGTACATTCCTGCAATGGTATCTTGCAAAGATACCATTTTTAAAGTAGTTGTGCTAAGGCCTCTGTGTTGAGGGTCAAAGCCTTATTCCTCTTGATGAAACAAAACATTTTATGTTGCTATTTGGTTTTCAAGTTTCTTCTCTTTCATTCATGTAATTCCAGATGTTAAATTCAGTTACCAAGAGAGCACTAAAGTACTGGAATCCCTAAAGCAGAATTTTATTTGATAGTATTTGTTTTAAAGTACAACTGTACAAACTAATGTGAGCTCAAAAGGTGTTGTCTAGGAAACTTTGTCCAATGTATCTGGGACTTTTAAAAATTAATTAGGCAACATTACATAAGTAATTAAGTTACAGGAATAATCCAGAACAGAACTTGCAAGCCCCTGTAAAAAACTGCACTGTAAATTAAAATGTTCTTTTTATGTATTTTTTTATCTGTATATTCACTTAATTTAGCTGCAGTTCTATTTTTCTGAGAATTTTAAGGCTTCATAATAGATGCATTAAGATGCAAATTCTCATTGAAGTTTATGAAGTGACTTTGAAAAAAATCTCAGCCTTTGCACTGAATTAGAAAGATATCAAGAATTAAAATTGACCTTAGGCTCTTGTTATTTGATTTGTTCTAAAAACTAAAGCCCATGAAAAGTTGAAAGACTGAAGAGCTTATTTGGGGCTTTCCATTAAAATGCTTGATGTGCTGCTTTATTTTAAAGCAAAATGCAGCTGGATGTAAGCAGCAGTAATAACATCTTTATCTGAAAGCATGTAATGCAGAGCTGTTTTATGTTAATGGTTCTGTTACTCATTTTAAAAATGAATTGGTTTGAAAAACCAAATCATGCTTTTCTAGTTCAAGGCAAGTGCCCAGACAAAATTTCTCCATGCAAATAACCAAAACAGTGGAAAATTGCCAAAACATGCAAAAGAACTCAGGAGTGGCATATATTAATTCAGTAAGGTGAATATTTTTTTCCCATTTCACATTTTCCCATTTCAACTGGAGTGGGAATTTCAAATGGAAAGCATGTTCATTCCTAGAGTGTGAAGAGGTATACAGACTGATTTATTTATATGGAAGTTGTAATGTTTCCATTGTAATAGACTAGTGCTTTAATTTATCTGGCTAGATGGGGTTTTGGTTTGCTTTCGTGTGTATGATTCAGAAGGGAACCTCCTTTTCTATATTAATAGCTGGCTGAACTCTTTTGTCTTCATAGAATCATAGAATCATAGAATGCTTAGGGTTGGAAGGGACCTCTAGAGGTCATCTAGTCCAACCCCCCTGCACACGCAGGGTCACCTAGAGCACGTGGCACAGGACTGCGTCCAAGCGGGTTTGGAAGATCTCCAGAGAAGGAGACTCCACAACCTCTCTGGGCAGCCTGTTCCAGTGCTCTGTCACCCTCACTGTTAAGAAATTTTTCCTTAAGTCCCCGTGGAAAATTTTGAAGCTTTAGTTTCTGGCCAGTTCCTCTAGTTCTGTTGGTGGCCACCAGTGAAAAGAGGCCAGCACCATCCTCCTCACTCCCTCCCTTGAGGTACTTACATACACTGATCAGGAACGAGTCTTCTGGAACGAGTATTTAAGGAAGACAGCAAGAAACCTGTATTATGTAATGCTTTTTTACTAGTTGGTGACCATTAGCTTCTCACTTTATCTGGAATTCTCAGACTCAGAAGGAAGGTTGCAAGGGAAGGTAAGGAGTGTTGCAGCGCTGGAGCCGTTGAGGTCGAGTCCTGTGTGCTCAGTGTGTCACTGATCAGAAATGGTGACCCTGGCAATGCACTGCTGAAGTACCCACACTCTGTAAAGCATCCCTGAAAAGAAAGGAACGTGAGCGGAGCACAGGTGAGAATTAGCAGTTGAGGTTTTGCCTACCTCGAGCATGCATGGAGGTGTTTGCACAACTGGGAGATCTAGTTTGCATTAGGTAAATTCGGCTTAAAGTAGAATGGAAAACTGGCTTGCATGGGCATTTCAACATAGTTTGAAATCAGCCTTTCTGCATAGCCAGTTTGAATTGGAGGTGATAATTATATTCATCCCAGATTGCTTTAGTTTTGCTGCTGTTTTGGATTTTTTTAGTTCACTGAGCTTGGGCATGTTAAGTGCAAAAGTTCACTTTTTTTTTTTTTTTTTTTTTTCCTCCATTAGGTGTTCCTTTAATGTACTCATTTAGAGCTTCTCTAAAGCAGAGAGACTACATGTCAGTATTTCCCCCCTTTAGACTAGTCATCAGAGTAGTCTAAAGAGTAGTCTCTATTTTGGAGCTGCAGTTCAAGACAAGGCCACGGCATTCAGGAGAACTAGGACTTTATGATCTTCTTCCATGCTATCTGCAGTAATCCATGGAGCTGTTTTAACTCAGTACAGGGTAGCGTGACATATTAGCCCAAAGGGGACTAGCAGAGAGTTTAAATATTTGGATGTAGACCTCACTTTCAGGGCTGGAGTTTTAGATTAAGTAAGTTCATGAGGGCCTGTGCTGCTCTCTCCTAAATATTTCATTTACTGGTCTATGCAAAATCCCCCAGTTGTCCAAGGCTAAAAGCAGCCACTCGTTTGCTTCCCTGCAGTGTGCTCTGCGCAGGCAAACCTAATTTCTTCTGTATGACACATCATGAGGCTTTGTGACCCCTAAATGCTGAGGTCAGAACCCTGATTTTAAAACATTTAATTCTTCCTAAGTCTGCAGGGACGGAAGAAGGGATAAAAAAAGGCAGCAATTTTCTACAGTACCACTGGGACTGTTTTCAATTGTGGGCATTGATAGTAGCGTGGGCCGGCATGGGTCAGATGAAGGGCTGTGTCCATGCTGCCTTCACATTTGTTATAGAGTGGGAAACACAGCACTAATCAGAGTTGTAAGTCGTGGGAATGTTTGGTTCTTTCAGAAATATAAATGCTTTTTGACACCAGGTCGTCTTCCCTGGCATTTACTTCGGGAGAGAAAGCTCCCATAACATGAAAACATTCTGTTTCAAAATTTTCATACTGAAACATTTTCATTTTTATTATGAAATCTCATTTCTGCTGTACTTTGTTTCATTTGACAACATTTTATTTTTATCTGAGTGAGATGATGCAAGTAATTCCTATAAACTTTCTCCTTCTCTTTCTTCTTTGTATTTTCTTCTTCTCTCTCTCCCTCTTCTTAGTGTCTTTATTTCTGTAAAGAATTTTAACACTTTAGAGATTTGTCCCAATTCTGAAAGAAGTGAAAAGTCAGATCTTCAGCCTCTTGTTAAATACACTTCTGTGTCTACTTACAGTGATTTACAGCCCAACTCTGCACAGGTGTGAGAGATCTGTGCTTCCTCTTCACATTCTAGCCCTTGATCAAGATTAGGACTAGTAGAGAACTGGACCTTCTCTTTCTTCCTTTTTGGACCAAAGTTGTTGAGGACAGAAGAAACAGAGACCCTTAAAAATATATCCACCAATTCACCAACTCAATAGCATGCTGCTTTCCATTGAGCCAGCTGGGAAAAAGTGCATTTTGCAGCTAAAATTCAAGGTAACTTTTCTATTCAAAAAACAGAAAAATTCTATTCAAAAAGTAGAATAGAAGAGTTTTAATTAATTAGTTAGATCAGAAACTGATAGGAAGTCTAAGCTGCTTCCCTTCAGTAAGTGCTTAAACAACCTCCTTGCAAAAGTGTTCAGTTGTACGAAAGTTCCAGTTATAGTTTCAGAGTGTATTTAGGTCAGTGTGGTGGTCATATGTGGATATTTAAGGCAACTTTTAATGTTTTTATGAGAACAGTCACAGATGAAGTTAAATGAATTCATTCAGTCATTTTATCCCAGACTGTCTCAGTACTGTCTCAGATTATAAAACTGCATACTGAAGAGGTATATTCTGAGAACAAAGTTTTGAAAGCTTGACTCATGTTTCATAGTTAATATATTTAAAATTCACTCATTTGCTAAACATTAAAAACTAAAAAAGAGGACCTAATAAATATAAAATGATACATATGTGCATGTTTTGCTTTTCTGGGATTCCACTGCAATATTGTTGGATTATTATTTCCATGATTTATTTTATCCTCGATTAAACATTGTGTGGTAGTATTTAAATTCATGTATGTATGTATTTTAAATTTTCAGTGACAAAGATTGCTTCCAGAAAGAATAAATCCCCTCCCCTCCCTGCTTCTTGTTTTTGGCCAGGCAAGTCCTCAGGAATCTTTCTCCATCTCTTTTTAAAAAAAGCAGGTCTTCCAGGTCAAATAGGAGATTACAAAGATTTCCTGAGGATAAAACAGCTAAATTGTCATCAGTGTCTAAGGTGGTTAGACCTACAGTCTGGTGTTTCTGTCTTTGCATTGCCTTTCCTCTGAGAGTGCCTCTAAGACTTGGTGGTTGAAAGTATAAAAAACAAATTAACAAGAACATCCATAATGATAAGTTTTATTGTGCTATATTTCCATGATTTTACTATTCTCCAAGTGGTCTAGGGAGTTGGGAAGGTCCAAGTAAGTTCCCATTAAGGAAAAAGAAGGCAGTAAATTTTTTAATAACACTGGTGTTACCTTACTGTGAGAGGCACTGGCAGTCAGTGAGTATGAATTAAATTCCATTTAAAAGATTTGGGATCCTTTAGATCCTCCCGAACAGTTATGAACTAAAGCTATAGCCATTCTGTTTTTATTAATAGTGTATATTTGAAAGCTGATGGTGCCCGGAAGGCCTGGCCTTGCAGTTGCCATACCCCATTCCGAGGGCTCGTCTCCCTCCTGAGCGGAGGGTCCCAGCGGGAGCACAGGGTTTTTCCCGAGCATCAGGACTTTTCCCCTCGGTTACAGGGTGTAGGTAGCAGGCGGCTCCCTGCCTGTGCGCGCACGGCTTGGGAATAAAACCTGCCTGGGGTCCTCTCTGGGCCTCTCCGTCCCCGGATAAAACCTGCCCAGGGCCCTGTCTGGGCCTCTCTATTCCCTTCCGTGGGGTCCAGTGTGGCTGAGCAGCAGGATCTGTGGAGGCACCGTGGGGCTGTCCCTGAAATCAGCTGTTCTGGATGCTCTTTCAGGGAATTTCTGTCTGTGCAGTTCAGTGTGGTGACGTGTTGAGCGCTGCCTGCTTACATCCACAAGCACAGAATGTGTCCGTGCCCCGTGCAGAGAGGAGCAGGGCTCTAGCTCGCTCTGGTGACAGGCAGGCCCTGATGGCTAGCCTCTGCAGAGTGTTTAGGTGCCCTGGATATACACAATACTGAGGTTTTCTGAGGACTCACGACCTTAGAAGGAACCTTCCTTCAGTGTCCTGAGCACATGAGGCCCGTTTGAGGCTGCTCGTCAGCCCAGGCCGCATCGGGGGGCAGACGAGTTGTGCGCTTCTCTCTCAGGGCAGCGTTTCTGTGACCCATATAGGTACCAGCCTGGGGACCAAACTTTAAGGATTGCTATAAATAGTAAAGATACATTTCTTTTTATGAAGTGCAACACTGGCATGGTACACTGGTGTGTGCTGCAGGTTGATAAAACTATGACCACAAAGCATTGTGCAGCTCCTTGAGATGTTCATGAGAAGACTTTCCTCATTCTTTTTTTTTTTTTTTCTTGTTTCTTTTTTTTTTTCCTGGGTGTGCACTTGGGAATGATAAACTGGCTTGGTTGAAAAAAGAGTTTTGGTATCTGTTGTTAACTAGATATGAGTCACTCTTCCTGACAAGGAGCTATCAATAGACCTTTTTAGTTTTACTGAGATTAGTATCATAAATTAAATCCTGGTGCAGTTTTCCCCTTTAGATGAGCTAATTTAAACTGATTTTTCTTTCCAAAATATTTTTCCTCATTTCTCACTGTCCTTTATCTTAAAGTTCTTTAACTTTAAGATAAAATATTCACTTGTTCCAATAACTTTCTACCAATAGTTTATCTTAGACTATTCTGATGTTTTCTGAAGATCTGGGTTTTCAGATAGTCGAAAAGCAGGTTATTGGAGTTCCACCGTGGCTTATTTAAAATTCTGTTTGAACCTTTAATGTTAATCAGTCAAGTTTCATACATACGTATTTTTATAGATACGAATTATAGGATCTTTGAGGTTAGAACTTTTAAGTATTGCACTTTGGTGATTTCATTCAGAATTATTTTCAAAACCTTACCTGTTTGCTGAGGTCACTGATTGCAGCTTGAAATTACAGTCAGTTTAAATAGCTTTTCATTTGCTCATTATGAAGAAAACTTAACGTGAATAATAAAATGTCTTAAAAGATCTACAGTGTGTCAGAAGGCTTGGGATGATGTTCTCCCTAAAGACGAGGAGGCTGAGTATTTGTGTATGTGAAAAGTCAAAGTTTTAAGTTTTAAATATTTAGGTATCAATGATACTAGAGGGGGAAATTTCCTTGTAAATTTGTGAAGACAATCTTAGTTTAATATTTGCATTGCTTCTGTGTACTGATAGGATGAACAGAAAGTATTTTTAATGCATTTGCGTAATTTGCACTTTGTTAGGGATCTAATTTTTACTTCTTGTGAGCTATTATTCTGTGAAGTTACCATTTCCATCTTTCTTTCTTCTACTTCTTTCTTGTCCACCTTCTGCAGAAAGAGAATCCTATTCACGGTGCATAGTCTGATGCTGTGGATGTCTTTTTTATAAGTTAATTATATAAATAGCTGAATTCAGTGCATTTTACAGAGCATTTCCTTAAGCAAACTAGATGGAATGCTTTTTAATAACCGTGTAGCCATTTGATGATTTTTATACTTGCCATTTGAAGACAGTTTGGGTATAGATTGATATAGAATTACTTAAAATACTGCATATAAATTAAACATTAAAAAGGTAGATACAGCCAGACTAAGCAGCTCAATTATAATCTTTGGTTATGCAGTTACTGCCTCAAGGACACTCCATCCATTTCATATCATATGTCCTTCTTTTGAAAGATGATCACTAGGTTCAAGTAACATTTCACCACAGCAGGAAATTGCATAATTTATAGGCCTTTAAAAATGAAAACCAGAAAACTGCTTTCATAAATTAAATTTCCCTCTCTATTTTTTTTTCTTTTCTACCCTTGCAGATTGGAACACTGAAGGATTACTACCACTTCTACCATAGTAAAACAATTAAAAGGTCAGTTCTCTCAAGTAGAGGTACCCACAGCTTCATTTCAATGGAACCAAAGGTAAGAGAATCCACCTATGTGTCTGAGGCAAAAGCCTTTGCATTTTTTATATGAAATATCATACCAAGAGACATTCACCTGAATGGCATATACCATTACAAGAACAGACATACTATCTGTTTGCTAAGGTTCTGCTTCCCATTAAAATGAAGCAAAGACAATACTGTGCTATTAAGTACGTGCTGTACTTAGAACAGAAGGTCCAGCATTATTCATGGAGGACCTGCAGTTTGGGGATTTTGTGAACATGTATCTGTGCTTCTAAAAATCGCAGCTGTAGTAGTGATGAGTGTTACCTTCTGCAAATCAACCAGCCTGTGGAATTAAAATGAGCAATATAGACTGATATCACTGCTCATATGAAGGTTTTTTGTGTTTGTCTTTTTCTGTCTTTAAAGCATGTGAGGGATTAAAGTAAGAATGCACTTTTGCGTGATCTTTTTGGCTGTTCATTTTGCTCTTAAATTAAGAGACCTCCCTCTCCTTGAACAATTGTATCATTGTAAGCCAGTATATTATATAGTAGGTAACCAGTAACATAATTTAATTACTGATTTATATTTGGTATAATTTTGTCCTGTAGCTTTTGCTTTAATCCTTTAGTCCTTAAGTCTCCTTAAGTCCTAAAACACACTTGTGTCTTAATCCTTTAGCTTCAGTGGTTTGTGCCTTCCTCCCTGATTGCAAAACTGGATTTCTTGTGATTCTTTTTAAGAAAGGAAGTTTGGAGAAGATCCCTTTAGATTTCTGAATGCTCTTCAAGCAACTCCTTCCCTCCCTCCACCCCCAAAAAAGACCCCTCCAGTGTTTTACACTGATTAAAATAGTGTCAGCCTTTTTTAAGTCATTGAATTATGACTCATGTTTGTGAATGGTCCATGCTATTCTAAAGCTTGACACAGATTTATTAAAAAGTGTGAGTTACCAGCAAAAACAATCTGACTAGTGTATGTGTTTCTTGCAAGCTAAGCATTCTGGAGGAGTCCTGAAGGATACAGGAGTACTTCTGTGGTCTGGAAAGCCACAGTTAGGGCTGAAGTCCTTCCTGAAGAGGAAGGAAGAGGACATGGGAGGTGCACACGGAGCATTTTGCTTTTTGTGCAGACAGGGCTAAGCTGCTAAGATGTGTAAGGACCCCAGCAGCTCTGCCAAGCAGGATGTTTCGGGGATTAGCGTGCAAATGGTGAAGGCCAAAAGTGTGCTCCGTGCATGCTCATGCCTGCTGATCTCACAGCCAGCGCTTCTGCAGGAGTGGGCGATGCTGCAAGGCGAGCGAAGGTGCTCGTGTCTCATTTCCCTCGTGTCCCAGTGTTGTGATTTGCAAGCAGGTGCGTGAGCTGACAGGCACGTACCACCATAAATGTTCCTGCTACACCCAGCTGACCTACACCCCTTTGCCTGTCTGGCAGAGAGCCAAAGTCATGAGAGACAGCACAGGGGAAAATCAGAGGCATGGCTGGTTTCTCAGGGCTTCCACCTGGCACCACTTCGGTCTTGTCCTGTGCGTGGCATTTTGTGCTAGTGCCGCCGCAAGCTGTTTGGTACTGAGATGCACTAGTGAGGCCGTGCAAGGGACTCCAGCCTAATGATTGCTCTGTTCCCACAGAGAAGCCTAAAGTCTAACTCCTTGACCTACCAGAAGTGCTTGTGGTAGACTTTGTGATTTCTCCTCTGAATCTGGGCTAGGAAACTCCTGAGTGGCTGATGGCACATCAAAACATGGGTATCAGTATTTATAGACTAATGTCCACATTGTCCTCAATGTACATGAAATTAAAACAAAAATAATTTATTAAAGCAGACCTTCAGTTTAATTGTCTTGTGTAAGCTGGATCTTTTAAAAACAAAGATTTAATCTTAAAAAAGGCGCACTGAATGGCTGTGAGAATTTTACTGAGACCAGTACTGTACATTGCTCCATTTATGACTCTTGCTGTATCTAATGCCAATATTTGCAGCAGATTAGGTGGCATGTGTATTTGTGAACAAAGGAACACTAAGGTTTGTGTGTTTTCCAAATCATTTAATGATAGTTTATTTAATACATAAAAGCCTCTTCTGTCTTCTGTTTAACATGTACACCTAATTATTGTGATATGTTAGTTGCCTCACATATAGATTACTAGTTCATAGTTTTATAAAATTTCAAATAATCCAATTTTCGTTAGCTGAGAATTCATTATTTAATTAACCCATGAGAAATGGAGAAGCCATTTGGACATCTGGCATTTCTGAACTGCTTGTGTGAATAGTGTATGATATCACTGTATGAATCTAAAGGAAAGATACAGAGATCATTAAATAACTTTGCAGATCTTTGTCTTCATTATTTTCTTCTGGAAATGACTGTTCATCTGATTTTAAACAATATGAATAGGCCCAACAGGGAGCATCAATTGAAGATATATACATTACCTATTTTTATAATTATCTCAGGATTAGGTGAACAGTAGTCTGCTGTTAAATTATAATAACACGGGATTTACAGTATGACATAATTTTGTCTATTATCGCCTACTTCCTTGCCTTGCCGCTCAGGAGCGGCCACTTAGAGGTGAAATGGATTAAGAAGTTTTAAGAGATGGCATAGGTACAAGTGAGGTGATAATGTCACCAGTGTATTTTGGCATCTACAAAAATTCAGATGTAGCTTTCTCCATAGCAGCTTTTGCATGTAGTTATGCTTCCAGTGCGGGTAGAAAAACAGAGAGAAGTGAAATTATGGATGAGAAGCAGAGATCAGTACTGTGCATCAAAGCCAAGCTTCTAATGAAATGTGGGGTGGCAAAGACTGCATGGATTTCTAATCTTTCTAGCTAATGTGGGGGCTATTGGCAAGAGTCAGTGAAAATCCCATACCATAAGTTATGGGAATGATGAGAATGATACATATAAGTTAAATAGTGCAAATGAGAAAGTTGTATTTTGATACAAGGTACAGTTAAAAAAAATGGGGAGTTTATAGTGAAGAGTCATGATAATGAATTTGTGACTCACAGAGTGAAAAATGTTACCCAAAATCAAATAGCATAAATGGCAAGGCAGTAATTCCGGAAGAATGCATTTGTTAAGTTAATGTAATGCAGCTTTCAGATTGCTAATATATTCAAAACGATGTATGTACAAGCTAAAGTATGTTCTGTTTTGCTTTTGAGGTCCCAGTGCTTTTGCATCACAAGAGAGATCTTAAAAAGAAATGTGGCCCATAGCAATGCTGCTAAATGTAAAATTAATAATTCAAGTTCCTGTGAAATTTCCCATTTACTAATAGAGAAAACATTTTTGGTATTAGTGTTTGTCAGTTTGAACTATGATGCCATATTACTTTTATTTTTTTTAATCCTTTCAGATAGGTTTATTTGGGTGTTGAACTCCTGAGTCAAATCAGCTTCACTTGTCTTTTAGAAAATGAAAATTTTCCAGTCACACATCTGTTAAAATAGGCATGATTTCAGCAAGAGACCCTACTTGAGTAGGATTTTGCTGAGATTTTATGCTGGGGTCCCAGAGTCATTGTGCCTGGGGGAACAGGTACAGACTCCAGACAGACTTATGTTTTCCCCATCCTGACCTAATCTCTCCATGTGAGAGCAGGCCTGTGTGACCTGGTACATACAAACCGCTGGCACCGTGTATACAGAGGGAGCCTCTTTACTGCCATTACAAACTGAATAAAATTTTTTTGAGAATTTTTTGAGAGTTTTGAGAATTAAAAAGCGAACTCTGAAGACTGCTTTCAAAGAAAAGGAAAGTAATGCTGAAAACCCATGGATATTGTGGGTGTTTGTGAGAGAGCAGAGGGAATATGACTAGTAGCAGCCAGTAAAAAACAGTGACAACCTGTAAAAAATGCACCACATTGCTATGTAGCAGTGATTATACCAGTTCACACTGCTAAACAATATCTTAGGTTGATACAGGATGTAGCTGGCTAAAGAGCAGGGAAAAGGATGGATTTCACCACAAGGTGATGGTCTTGCTTTGGCAAGGAATATGCCATTACTTGTGGAGTGGCACAAGTGCCTTTGGAAGCAGAGAGTGACCCAGAGCAGAATTAAAGAGGTTAGATTTGCTATGCTAAGATGGTGATCAAGCTGTATCTGCCGATGTTTTTCAATTTAATTGTGCCAAGACTGGAATATGAGGTCAAGACTGGAGTATGAGGTTGAGGGGGACTTCAGCCAATTTGTGTTTTGTTTAAGAGGCACAAAACTCTGCAGGAAAGAAGAATTTCATTACAACATTAAAACCCTTGGTTTTTAATAGAAGCATCTTGGACTTACAGGTTAGAAAAATTCTGGTGAGAATGCTGTTGTGAGAAGCCAGTGTTTCATAAGGGCAATGCTGAGGGTTAAGTTGTTAAACGTTGTAAATAAGCAAAAATATTCTGTTAGCTAAATAGAATAACAGAACTGTTAAATTTTGGGACGTGGTGGGTTACTGATGCCTGCCTGCGTGGCCATAACCTCTATTAGCATGCAGAGGACAAAGAATCAATAATATCTCATAGCAGAATAATGGGAACTGCCACGCTATTTTCCATGTTCAGAGTTTGACCAGAGAGACTAAGTTATGAAGTAATGAAATATTTACCACCATGGGCTTTCTATTTAATTGTCTCTGAAATCTTTTACATGAGCCATCCTTACTTCTTTAGCTCAGTCAACATCAAAAATCAGACTTGCTATTTTTAAGGAGCCTGTTGCTGAGTGAGTTAGTACATGAACTGAATCACAATATGAGAGAGGACACGGGGACATTTCACTTCAGTACCTGCTTCCGGAGTGTTAAACACAGATTGCTAAGACATGGGCAATGAGTTGTGCTCTTAAGATGTTGTTTTAGGGTCTACCTTCTGGAGAGCAGCTCTGCAGAGAGGGACCTGGGTGTCATGGTGGACGACAAGTTGACCATGAGGCAGCAGTGTGCCCTCGTGGCCAAGAAGGCCAATGGGATCCTGGGGTGCGTTAAGAAGAGCATCTCCAGCAGGTCGAGGGAGG